TAGATACTGTCTCGTCCATGTAGACTTTCTGTAGACAGATCGTTTTATTGACCCATCTTGTTGTTTTGTCAAAATATATTTGTAATAAAAGTTTCACTATGTAAGCAATTGGAAGCCTGAATAGGTATATTAGTGGACACACTGACTGCATAAATACTGAAATAGTTTAGCAGATTTTCAAACAATGAATACACTAAGGAAACACACTGGTACATTTATATACAACATTCATACTAAATGACAATGTAAAAATCACTTGTCCTGTCAGAGACTTTGTAAAGATTAAGGTAAACCGGAAGCAAAAGAAAAAACTAACTTTGACATCATACTGAAGAGTAATAAGTAATAAAACTATGAATAGGAATGCAGAAAAACCAGAGTAAAATATACTGGGATTGAAGAGTAATGTAAATTTCTTTCAAGGTCAAAGTTAATCAATAATTGAAATGTTCTCTGCTTAAAAAGCAATGTATTATTACTTATCTGTAATGTCCAGTAAGAATCTTATAACTTATTGTGTATATCAGCTGATGTATCTCAGGGATGTAATCACTTTACTATAGTAAATTATAGGAGTTCAATAAAACGTCAACAAAACCAGTAAGACAATCACATATTACTAAGCATAGGAAAGACGTCTACAAAACCTTGATTTGTGAAGTAAGTCAGTGTTTTCGTCGACTCAAATGCCATATCATGTTACTTATAGTCTTAAAATCCTTAGGAATTTCTGAGAAACGGTAAATTTTAGTATTTTTATGTTTTTTACTTTTATATAGCTTGACTCCACACCGTATTTTTGGTACAAGTGGGGAATTTTCAGCATGCGAGATCAGTAGCCTAAATTTTGCAGGCCAACCACTGATATCGGATGTACGTTTGCTGGGAATCGAACCCCGGACCATGTGCATGGTCGGCGAGAGTCCTAACTGCTGTGCCACCGACGCACAGTCAGAATCAATGTTTCATCTAGGCATATAACTGGCGAGTAGGTTTCAAACACAGCAAATAAAAAGAATGAGTTGGTATTTCTTTCACATAGTCGTTTGAAGAGTGGAAAATTACTCTAAAAGGATGTCATGTTAAAGAATGCATGTATTACAAAAGTCTACTCACTTATTGCCCGTTAAATTCACCAACTTGGTTGGATAAATGCTAACAACTTTACTAACCTGAATTTAAAAAAAGATTGGGATTAAGATTTGTTTTGGGGCCTTAAGAGGTTAGTTGACGTCTGTTGGATTGCCGAGGTTATTCAAAAGTATACACGTCCGTCCATCAAACAATAATCTGCAAGGAAATTGTATGTGCTTCAGTGGTTTGGCGATAAAACACTCGCCAACCGTGCAAGTGGTCCCGGCTTCAGTCTCCGACAGATGCACTCCTAAATCTCGCTTAACCGGTAATAAGTCCGGTAAAGAGGGAAGGTCGGACGTAAAGCTAGCGAAACCCATCCAAAGAAACACCAGTGCTACTAAAACTTCGTAACCCAAGCTCCTTATTTTACACTGGGAAAGCAAAAGAATAAAATAACAATCAAAAATTATAATGAATCACGTAATTTGTCTAAAAGAAGTTAGAATGAATTTCTCACATTCTTCCACTTTATGACTTTATGACTTTCATATAAATCAAAGGGCTTAATTTCTTCTTCATTTGAAAACATTCGTGTTATCGATTTATCCTAGACTAATTGTAGGAAACTCCATAATTCTAATCCTGTACTTAAATGATTGGAAAGATTTGTAGTCATAAAGCATAATTTACAGTATGAAAAACCAATCAAACAGAATAATTGGGTATTCTGAATTTCCTGTTGATTGATTTACATAAAACCAAAACTCTCAGTCTCCGCTGACATGTCGCCGTCTAGTATGAATGCTTCAGTGATGTGTGGACCAGTTAGTATCACTTCAACCAATACACACCAACGAAGTATGCGTATTAAAAGCTGACAATTCAAAAGAGACTGAAATTTCTGGTCTGATGTAAATCAGTCAGCCAGAAATACAAAATAACTTCAACAGATAACAGCTGCCACTCCCTGCACAAGGAATGAATCTCGTGGCGCACTGGATAACACTTTGGCTACCTGAAAATATTGATTTTAAGCTAAAGTTTTAGTGAGATTACTATCACACTGAAATACGGGCGTATCCAGCTGAAAATTCCCATAAAGAACGGAATGCATAACCAAGATGCTGCCTCAAGTCCCTATCAACAAAACAAGCTGAACATTTTTTTTTTCGCCTGTTCTTTAGATTCTTGTAAAACGCTTCATTTTAATCAAATATGTTAATGCTTTTAATTACTAATACTGGATTGTTATTTGCCTTATTCAGAGGTGTATATTTAGTAGAAAATACAATCATTTAATGGTAATCAGCATCATTCATCTAACAAGCAAATATTTCATACCATTTAGGCTTAACTTGGATGAACGTCTACAAATTCCAATAATATTTTTATTGTTGTTATGATTATTCGCCTTGATATTACTTGCTGTTATTCACCTCTCAAATATAAAATGTCTTGTTTTGTTATTTTCTTCTGATATACATACCTCAAAAATTGAAATTTACATTTATTCTATGGCTGTAAATTCGAAATTACACTTCATTTTAACTATGTACTTAGAGTGAAATCCACATCACCTTCTTATTGTTTTTTTCTCATGACTCAGTAATATTTAGTGGTGTAATTTCCAGTATGTCTTTTAATGGTCACTGTATAACACCGTCCGTGAGTTTTTAAATGTGCAAACTAAAATTATTCAAAAAAACGAATGGTTTGTTTTCAAGGTTTAACAGAAATATTTCTATATTTTCAAAATGTAGAATTAAAATCGTTATTTTCAAATTACGCTACTCAAGGTAAGAAATTGCCAAAGTTTTCTGTCGAAAGCGAAAATATTCAGGTCAAAATATGTGACCAACTTGATACCACAAAAGGCAGTCAAGTGAGCAAGCATCAGTCCATGATAGGATGATAGATTGTTGTGGTTGGTTGGGGACGACTCGCCTCAAATAGGTATGTTTGCTGGCTAGAGCGAAACAGGCTAAACACTGGAATTCCTTTGCGTTCGTTACGTGTCAAGTTTGTTAGTGGTGTGCTCTGTTTTACTCAGGTCGGAAACTTCAGTCAAGCTAATACCACCTTGATATGGCTGGTAAGCACTTCTGTTTGACGTGAGTGGTTTTTAACAACTCATATTAACTTGCAGTGTATAACATCGTTCAATTTTTCTAGCTTCTTTGGCAGCCATTTGTAGTATCTGATAGATCACACATGATGAAATTAGTGTTTACAGTTTCGGGAGGAAACTGTGAGGACTTTTCACGTCGGACTGTGTAATTTCTAAACGACGAATGTGATTCCATATATTTTGAATTCTACCAAGTAGCTTTGAGTTTGGGTTGATTCGACTTCCTGAAATGAGTCAAACTTCACATACCACTGATGAACTCGGCTCCCAACGAATTCCTAGTATTCCGTTTATGAAATTTAAGATTATTTCACCTGACATGCGTTGTTTCCACATGAAGTTCAAAAGACTGTTTCAGCACTTTTCCAAATAAATAATAGAAACAACTTTATATAGACTGAGCAATGAATTAAAATCTAAAAAATTTAAATTAAACTAAAACATTCTTAAGTCTCTAAGTTCCCGGAGTGGAATACAGTGTTTGGTTACCCTGATAAATTTCGATAGAGAAAGAAAGACTAGATTTGCATTATAAAATGATTTCATCATTCTATTTCACAGTCTCTCATTAGCTGCAGACTACCTGAAATTACAATGGTTACATAGATAATAATAACATATTTTAATGTTTAAGTGGTAGTACAGAAGAGATACTATAAAACTGACGTATCCAAAGTGTAAGCATTACAATTTTTAGTTTAAGTTTTCATCATCAATTTATACGCTTTCAAAGTAGAAGAGAGGAGAGAAGGGTTAGACAGAAAAGAGAAAAATAATGAACAGAACAGTGTTAGCATGTGGATTCACATAGCAACTCAAAACAGAAAAGCGGTTACAGTTTATTAGATTGAGATTGGCTCAGTGAGTTGAGATCACTGAATTAGATGACTAATTAATGTAATCAAAATCAGAATTCAGTTACTAAGAGAGTGAAAGATTAACGACACTCTCTTTCTGTATGCATAAGTGGTTGGTTTGAATCAGTTGATTGCATTCGCTTCGGCAAATCGTAGTAAATTAGCTGTCCATGGTGTGTTTAATATTTTGAAAGACTTAGAAATCTCTACGAGATGTCCAGTATCAACAATATGTCTGCTTATTGCACTTTGAGAATATTTGCTTCGTTTTAGGCACAGGTTTCTTGGAATATGTTCAGAAACCACTGGATAGAAGCCCTTCTTTCCGTCCTTCCAATGTACTTGCTCCCGCGAGTGCACGTAAATTCATAAACGCAGTTGGAGGTGACATCACCAGGGTATTTATCCAGTTTTGATTGGCTTATAGAAGAAGTAGTGCTGTATAATGTTATGAGTTTAGCTGTAACAAAGCTTCTTCTTATTTCACTTTCCATTATTTTGTCAATCTTTTGTGACACTGCATCTCCTTTAAATGGGAGACAAATAAACACTTTCTTCTTTACTACAGTTTGGTGGTTTTCTTTCTTTTCTTCTCCTCTGCTACACTTTTGTATAAATCCCTTAGGATATCCATTTTCTCTTAGGCATTTCTCAACGAAACCTAATTCTTCCTCCAACTTGTTCGGTGAACATAGATTACTGGCTCTGTCGTACAATGTCCTTACTAATCCCCGATGATAGCTTTTAGGGCAGAAGCTGCTGTAGTAAAGGTATTATCCAGTCCAGGTTACTTTTCTGTAGATGAACTTTATGATCGTACCTTCGTTTGTTCTTAGTCTTCCTTTCTTTATCGAAAAGAATACAATGTATTTCTAGTTCTCTTTGACACCTTTTTTTCACAAAATTAACTAATACTACTTTTTATTATATTTTGATAGATTTCATGGAATCTTCCACAGTGTCTTCATTTAATATCTAAAACGGATTCACATACAAATCATAGTGAGTTTGCTGGTATAACTTTACGTGGATTCTGCTTTGAATGCGATGTAATAGACGAGAATGATAGATTGTTATCTGGAGGAGTCCAAAACTTATCAAATTATTATGTGTTAGCTACTTCAAATAACCACACAAATCTAACATATACCATTTACTTGATTAATCAGAAAGTAGACAATCAGTTAACGCTTAAAATTAATACAAATTCAAAAAATATGTCATTACATCATGCATTATTAACTTATGAGAACCATTCCTGGAGAAAGTGTTATAGACAAGCACCAACCATCTTATTACTTACATTCCATATCAAAATTTGTCTTCTCAATTATTATGAACGTATGGCATTCAAAAGAATAGTTGGAATGTTTACTAATCTTACACAGTTATCATTAATAGACAATTTGTCAGTTGTACACACAAATACTCATTATAATTATGATACTGTTGAAATGAATATGCAAAATGAGAATTATTTCAGCTTTGAATCACCTTCAGAATATGAAAAGTAAGTTTGGGATGTTTCCATAATTGAATAACTAACTGCCAAATGTAGAAATACTTTTATTTTCAAGTTTTGACGTTTATAAATGTTTTGCTTATAATTTTATGACTTTTTTGACAGTATATTTTTTCCTCAAATTTGTTTTACGTTTTTGGCTATTAAAATATTTGATGAACACTTAACCGACAAAGAAAAATACAGCTACTCCACTTAGTCGGTGGTTCAATGTCTGAACATTCGACAATCACGGTAAGCCGGTGGAAAGCTTAGTAAGCAGAGAAGGTTGGGCAGAGACTAGCAGTCCTATTCCTTAGAAAGGAACACTATTACTACTGGATCTTCAAGGCTCAAGCTTGAAGCCTTATATTCCACTCGGAAAGCAAAGGAATAAGAAACTAATCACATGCCCAGACATCGTCGAAGCTTCTGCACAAGAAGCCGACATGTCAACCTGAGACCGAGCACTTTGGTCCAATCAGTCGACAGGAAAATCTAAAATTCAATTACATAAGGAATAAGAAGCTATCTGATATTACTTAATTTAATAATATAATATAAGAATTACTGTGAGTCAGTGGTTCAGGAGTAGAACGCTCATTAATCACAAACGAGGTTCAGGGTTCGATCATCGCCGGACGCACTGCTAAGTAAGTCTGGTGAAGAAGGAAGGTTGGGTGTGAGGCTAGTGACCTCATCTTGTAAAAAATAAACACCATCGCTACTGAAACTTCAAAGCTCTAGCTACGAATCTAGAGGAATAAAAATTAAAAATAAAATCGCTGCCGGAATACTGAATTTCGTTTTAAGGCTCCTAGAGCACCTAGAGCTCCTAGTGCGTCGGTGGCATGGCGTTAGGACGCTCCCCGACCATGTACATGGTCCGAGGTTCGATCCCCGGCCGACGCACTCCTTTACCTCGCTAAGCCAGAAATAATGCTGGTGAAGAGGAAAGGTTGGGCATGAGGCTAGCGACCCCATCCTATAAAATAAACACTGCTACAGAAACTTCAATCCACTAGCTTGAAGCCTTATGTTCCACTGGGGAACGTGAAGGAAAAAAAAGAGCACTTCAAACTTAAGTGATTCTAATTCCTAGGCAGAGAGTGTAAAACTGAATTCATCAATTTATTCTCTTAAATACATATTAGCGTCGGATTAAAAGTAAGTGCAATGATCCGTTATTTGTATCCAGTTAGGTAGTGGAAACCTTCTAGTACTCTTCGCATACAAAAATCCCTTTTGATAGTAACTTATGAATATCACATTCCCTGAATACTTCGAGTTTTCTTACAGTTCACTGAAGTACTTTGCAAACGCAATATGTATGAGTGTATATATATACACATATAACTACTTAGAGGCCTCAATCAGTAATATTTAACGTTACCAGTATTCATAATTAAACATACAGGGTCATGTATAACTTTAAAGGGAGATTTTAGTCAATTTCTATTGAATGGTTTTGTAGAACATTTAGATATCCATTCATTTGACCTAAAGTGTACTCATTATGTGTAGTCTCATTCCCTCTTACTATCTTCCCGTAAACCGAATTGATTAATTTTCTTATTTGAGAATTGAAATCCTTACAAAAGAAGCCTAAGTGATGGGAGCTTTTAATCATAAATGTGATATAAATATAAATTTTCTATGGTTGGTTTGTAAGGATTAGTTTTGTTTTTACGATTTGATGATGGATTGATATCAATAAGAGAACCATTGAAAACAAGCAAGGAGTACTGTCAGACAGCTGTTTCATACTAGTTTGGGAATCATCACAAGTAAGCACCCACCCAGAACCCAGAACTTTCAGGTTACAAGGCAAGCTTGTAGAAGTTAAAAATCATGGGCTGGCCATTGAGGAATCGGGTCCAAGTAGCTGAGTGGTATACGAGATTGCGTGCCTCGTAACCGCCAGGTCCTGGGTTTGAACCTCCTGTGGTGGATGCGTACTGGCGATGATTTCCAAACAAGAATGAAACAGCTACCTGGCAGTACTCCCTGTGACTGGTTTTCAGTGGTTCTCTAACTGATATCAATCCGTGATCAACTCGTAAAAATAAATATTTAAATCCCCCAATTATCTTTATCATATTGTTTATAGTTCGATAATGAATTTTAATACATAATTATTACATGCATAGTGGGTTGACCCCTTGGGATTCATTGAAAATTAAGCCTTCTGTACTATCTATCAGTGCTCAACTCTTGGAGTAACTATTGTGGTGAACTTACTACATAGATAAATGCATGAAAATATAAAATTGGTTTTATTGTTCTATTTTTAAAGATACTGTTTTATTGATCTTTTTGTTTTTTTTGTTGTGTTTTTGCTGACGAATTATTCTCACACAGTCGTAAAATTGTTGTTTTTCACTTCAAGTCATTTTGTTGATTATGTTATAGATCAACAGATAAAATCACCAAAACAGATGAGTTAGGAAAAAGGAGAATTGTCATTAGCAAAAAATTAATAATAAGAAATAATAATAAAAAAACTCACGATTAGAATGCCTACGAAGTTCAGAGAACACAATCTACTTATTTGGTTTTGAGTATCTAAAGCCCTGTTACACATAATTTTATTAAAGCCCACGTTTGCCCCCAACTGTGGTAGAATTCAATAGAACTGTGTAGCACTGACTTCCCTTTTATTACGCCATGGTAAGAAATATAAGATTGACACTGATGATAAATGGAGTATAACTGCTAACTCATAATCCAAAAAAACAAATTCTTTCAAAGGATTGATGTATGCCTGCAATAACTTATCATGTTGATGACAGCTTTAATGCTTCAGGTAACTCTAATCCCCATTTTAGTGCTGTTCTCCTTTTAACAATGATAGGTAGGTGAAATGTATAAATATTAGCGTATTCATTAAACTTAAAGATAAAACGCAAAAGTATTTCTATTGTGAAACACATTTGTGATGAATTAGTAGTAAGTAAACATCACAAAGTTGTTTTAGGACTAAAAGAATTAACTCTTTATCTTAATGATGACACCTAAAGTTTGATAAAAATTTGAAAAATACATCCCAGGCTAATTATCTAATCGTATTTTTGAACAGGCAGTGTGTGACCGGCCTCAAGCAGTTGTCCCCTGGGCCCTGCGATCACGCAACACTAACCTTTTCTCTCTTTCCTTCTCAGGCGTAAGGCTAGCAACCGCACTCTGTAAACAAAGCTGCTACAGAAACTTCAGCACGATGAATCTCCTTGCGCCAAAAGAAAAAGTCTGTGTGGGGACATGGAATGTCCGCACCATGTACGAGATTGGCAAAGCTGCCCAAATCGTAAACGAAATGAAAAGATACGGAATCCAAGTAATGGGGAAATGTGAAAGCAGTGTGGGCAGACTTGGAGGCAGGTGAAGACTCTAGCAGTGGAGACGCACGGCTGAAGCCCCATATTCCTCTAGGAATTAAAGGAAACAAAAATAATAATTTTTGAACATTTATCTGTTTATTGAGCAATTTTAATTAGCTAACTGATATTATTTTGAAGATGACTCATGTATCATATCGCAGAAGCTTGAAGATTTATAAATGACGACCAACAAGTTGACAGAACAGGCAATTAAGACGGGATTCAGGTGAATATAGAGAAGACAGAGGGGATTAAAACAACCAACCAACAACAGGAAACGGCAGTCACCATCGTTAGAAGAAATAGGTGGGGACTCTCTCCTTTCCCACTTATCTGACCTCTGCAGTATCTTCCAACCAAAGGCGACAAAAATGAGGAAATCCAGCCTTCCGGGAAAGCAAAACAGCCGTTTATGACTATAAAATCATTGTGTGTAGATCTATACCACTCAGCATAATGAACAACATCCAGATTTGCAGCACTAATGTAAAGTTGGTGCTTCAGTGGAGTTTGGTGAGATGGTAATGGTGCCAACAAAAGCACTTCCAACTGGCTTCACAATTTCATCGACAGCTGCCTATGCTTCTTAATGAAGATCAGTTGACCGGCTGGAGAGGATTAAAAGAAAGGAAATGTGGCAGTGAAGTCAACCAGCCATCAACTTATTGTCCAACAAATATGCAGACTGAAATACAAGTAGATTGGACATGCGTTGGGAAAACCGTTGAGTGAAAACACGCTTCAGGCTTTCGAGTGGAACTCGAAGAGTTGGACGTCCAAGGGTGACGCTGGGAAGATCATATGAAGAAGAAATAAAAGCTTGTTGACAGTCATGGAACTAGCTAAAAATGACCACAGATAACAGATTACAATGGAGATTTACTTCTGAAGCTCCATATTCGAATCACGACGCAAAAAAGACGAATAATATTACTAATAGTAATAATTCACACGAGCGGAACTACTCACTTCACACTGGTATACAACAAGCAAACGTCTACTGATTTGTGCTACAATATTTTAAACTGATTCAGGTGAATGTGAACTAAACTAAGTGATCAACGTAGAACTTTGTATAAACAGATATAACTGGTACTCTCTGTTAAATTGACTAAACCCAATATACACACTGCTGTAGCAAAGTAACTTTATTAGCTGATAGCAATAACAACTACCATCAGAATAACAACACTGAAAGTGCGAAATATGCCGAACCAGTGGGAGAGAGCTTTGAGGTATCCCAACAATATTTAACGCAGAAAAGTCGAAACATGATAGATATATTGTAGATAACCACCACAAATGCTTATTTATTAGCCAGTAGGATTCCAGGCACCAGAAAAATTAGGAAATGAAAATTGCGAAATACGTAGCCAACAAGGCACTACAAGTTATGTTTGAATTTTCATGAAAAATAAGTGCTATAAAAGAAAAAAATACGGATGTATAATTAAAAGTGGATTAATTCAATTTCACAACTTTTCAAGAACGCGAAAGTAAAGACAGGGAAAGTGATGAAACTACACAAACCAAAATTATACAGGCGACGGAATAGTTACTTGAAAAATAATCGGAATTTACAGATTCTAGAAAATCATAAGACGTGAACCCATGTTTACCATAAAGAACAAC